AGTTCGTTTTTATATAACTGAATAGATAATTGGTCGCACTGTGCCGGTGCGTTGGGTTGGCGCAACAAACCACATCGGCAACACTGTGCCAACTCCCGAAGATTAACTGAGTTACCCTACGCCTACGTCCGATGAGCCCAACCACAGTTGTTTGGGTAATTTAAGAGGTTTCGTGCGCCGGCAGCATTACGGCCCTGCTTCCGAGATGTCTTGGAAATTGTTTTAACTACCAAATTCACTCAAGATTAATGTAATGCGCCCATTACACGAGTCTTATGTACTTGCAACATGCACACGCTCTCGAAACCCGCTGGGAATTTCTAAAAAGCCGGCCAGAGGTTGGGGTTTATTCAACACGGGGGCGATTGATTTTGCCTCAAAATATGTTCTTGCATGAAGTTCACTTCCTGTCCGGCCTGTCCAAGAGCCCGTTGTCAAAGTGTTCGATACGAAAACACTTAAAAACAAATCAATAAATTGTGCTGGATCGGAAACGCTCATTTGACACAAATTCAATTCATTCGTGTCGAAAGTCTTGTGGATGTTTCCTCAGCGATTCATCGATTCGGCCCGAAATCAATTTGTTATGGCATAGTTAAGCGATGTGGAGTTGGGAAGTCGGGATTAAAAATTATTGAAGCACCAGATCGGCTAAATTATTAAGTCGTTCAATAAAAGTTCGCCAAGTAAATTTCCTGATCGGATGGTCCTCGGATTTATCGGCCAATATTTCCTCTTTTCGGAAATAACTTCCGAAGTGGGCCGGTGCTGCCCAATAACTCCCAAACAGTATGTAATTTGCGATGTCGAATTGGATGGCAATTGGATCTGATTGCTGTCCGATTTTCGGTCATTTGGTCGTTTAATAAGAAAAATCTATTCGACTTTTTCCCATCTCAAAGTTTAGTTAGTTCAAACACCGGTTTGTTCAAAAACAGGTTCAGTTTACGACGAAAAAATTTAGATTAAATAACCCAAAAAGATGATTTCCAAATCGGTTTCGCGTAAAATTCCCCAGGAACTTTAGTTCAAACCGAAAACCCAGACCAGCCACCAGGGGAATCAGTTACATATTTAAACTTCAACAGTGTGTAATCACGTAAGAAAAACACAGTTTGAAATGGAAACACGAATTGAATGTCAATGTTGAATTTTTCCGCGGGAATCCACTAATTCGAACTTCGTCTCCATTATCAAAAGAGATAGACTTTCGAGGCCATTCCTTGGAACTAATGGGGTTTTCGGGTGTTTAGGCCGTCGTTCGGTAGAATTTCTTCCTGACGTTTCGCAAGCACGAGTGGCTTGCATCTTCAGAAGTGGTTTGCTTGAACGCTTACACTGTTCTCATCAGAACCCGCGATCAGTTCTGCGGAAGAACTGAGCGGGAAGAAAAGAACTGAACGACGGCCTAAAAACCCATTAGTTTCGTATCCATTAAACACAACAATAAGTTTCACTTTGCGTTTGACGTTATCATCTGGGACAAATTTGCAACTGAAACTGATACCCAGTTGACGAAGACGTTCAAGCATGTTCATATGTGAAATGTTGAATGGTATCGCTGTCGAGGGGCACAAGTGGAAGATAAATTTCCTAATCGCATTTCGGCAAACAAGTTGCGGAAATTCGAATGAAATGTTAATTAGACGTCCTGCTCCTGAAGGGAGGAATATCACGTTTCTGTTCAGACAAATTTGAGCGAAAATTGAACTAAACCTATCCTGGATCCGACTTCACATTTTAATATTCAATTGTAGGGCGCTCCGGTGTGAATGAGGAGCCAGTGGAGGACTTTATTTGCCTCTTTTGCACCATCCGAAGCCATTATCCTGGTATGCGATTGTGAATTATGAAAATTTCCCTTGTTTATGACCGCACCCAAGCCCAGTGGTGTCGAAATCCGATCCAACCATTGCATACAGAATAAGGGGTTGGTTTCGTTGACCGATTTGTTTGCGAGCAACATTATTAAAAAGTTGGCCTGGCGCTGACCTATTTGCTCTCTCGTCGGTTTCAAATTTAATATAAAGTTTCCGCGCCATCTTGAACTTTATAAAACACAAGTTCCGAAATAACTCCACATCGGAGAAGTCAGCTAGCTCGTCTTTTGTTTGATGCGATATTGGGTTTAAAGCAACCTGGGGCTGGGGGGCGGCTAAAGTCAAGGACACCTATATTAGTAGCAAAAAGCCCTTTGCTCAAATTAGATTCTAGACTCTTGGTTTCGCCGAGACTGACAGGAAACTTTGAAGCAGTTTCACCCTGTGCTCGTTAGTTAGCGTGGGGGAGTTTTCTTTTGACGAAAAACTCAAATAACTGATGCACTCATAAAGCTACAAACAGTTTTATTACCTTGACGCACCTTACGCCACTCGCTTTAAGGGTAACATTTTCAAACCGTGTTTTTGAAGCTGATTTACAAATTCCCGTTAATTTCCTTCTCCAAGTAAATTACGTTGTAGCAAATGCGCCCGAGGCACGGAAAACCGCCCGAAAAAAATATTGAAATGAGCGTGAAAGAAAAATAACTTCAATTAATTTTTTTCGCCATAATGAACGTCGTTTCAGGTGGATTTTCCTTCAGTTTTGGACGTGCGATTTATCAGAAACGCGATTTGGAGCTAAGCAAACGAGAGCGGCCTCGCTGCTCATTGTGTTCAAGTTCGCATCCAGAGAGCCCCCGATAAATGCCCATACGCGTACCAGCAAATCTTTATTAATATTTCTCCCTTTTGGGCCAAAGATAACGGCCTGAAAGGGCCCTGTTTACCGCCTGAATAATCAAAGGCTTACAACATTTTTATTTAATGACATTTATATTAAAATTTAGCCGTTTTCCCGAAATTTCCTTTCGCTACACTGGCTTCTCGACTTCTGCCGCCGCTACATCAGCAACGGATGTTTTCCGTTACTTTTAAAAGATATTTTGATTAATTTCGCGACTAGGGAGGGCCTTTAAAGTTTTACTTATTACTGATAAATTGAAGTGTTTTTCAATGTTAGTGAACGGTTTGATGGAATCAAACAGTTCAGTGTTGTTTGGTGACTAAATGGTTAAGGAGTGTAAGGATCTGAACTCTTTTAAAGGTACGCATTTCCAGTGAAGCTTTCCACTGCAGTGCGAAACGGTGCAAATAATGGTAATAAAATTTCAAAAGAGCAAACATCAAGGTAGTAATCGAGGTGATGTTACTCACAAATATCGGGTTTCTGTGCGCTGGTTTAGTCGAGCACAAACATTGTTTCCTTATTGTATCCTATTATCAATTTGCCATTTATTATGTAAATTGAAAACGCCGGGCTCTTTGGAAATCTAAGGGCTTGTTTTTATTTTGTTTCTCGGGTTTCGACGAGTCAATTGAGGCAACGTTTGGACGGTTTGCAAATCACGCATCGGTTTTCGCGTGAATATTCAGAAGAAATTTTGCGACGTCTTGTAGCGGGTTTGGGTTAGTCAGGGGCTCCCCGAAAAACGTCGGGACGTTGGCCATTTTTGGGAACAAATTGGAAAATCAAGTGCAAAACACTCGGTATTTGCATCAAACAGAATTAGAATTGAAAACACTGCAGGTTTGCATCGGCTTTTTCCTGTGATTAGTAATTGTTAATGAGATTGAGCTGAGTAAGTAATAGGTTTATAATTTGACCGGTGTTGAAGTAGGCAATAAGTCCGACGGACTTATTGGGGTAATTACTTCGGGTCCAATGCATTAATGAATTTTTAAGCCGATTCACTTTAAGCAGCAGTCTTCCGGTGCGATTTCAACCATTAACTGGGTGGAGATCAATGAATAAATAAGTTTTCGTTGATTGATGGGGTGGAACGGGCATTGCGCCCTGTTCAAACTTTCATCGAATTCAATAAGTGCATGTCGTCGGTTTTATTCCATTTTTCCTTCGAAATCAATATTGTGTTGTCAGACTGTGAAGGCTTTCACGGCCGATCAAATAACATCCAGAAATGTTTTTCGGGCTTTGAAGCATTGGTCCATGGGAATTTCTTCCTGACGTTTCGTCCACAACTGCGGTGGACATTATCAAAGGCGATGATGCACAGCGAAGTGTTCTCCCGTGCGACAATATTATGCGCAACAGTTAAGTCACATTGTAATGGAAAAGGGGAAAAGATTGATTGTTATTAGCTGAACTCTAACATTTTTTAGTCAAAGAAAACATTGGTCGGCTTGCGCTTGTTTTCAAATTGCGCTGAAATTCGCCTTTGTAAAAATTGAAAAATCGAATGAGCAATCTTGTCCAATTTCAGACAATTGACGCTTGGACTACAGGCGGTAAGGTTGAGTGGAAGGTAGTTTCGATACGCTGCAGCCTCACGTAGTGGACTTTTACACATGGCTGTCCGACAGAGGTCAATGCTTTCTTCCATTTCATCGCATCAGTTTAGTAAGCGGGTCCAAAGTATTTGACAAATTTGTCCACCGCAGTTGTGGACGAAACGTCAGGAAGAAATTCCCATGAACCAATTTATAAAAATTGGCCAAAACTTTGTTTAGCCAATTTATATAAATCCCCGACGCCAACCAAAGCTTAAAAAGCTGATACTTTCGTTCACAGGAGCACGGTTCCCCTCAACGGGAGGCCAAAGCCAATAAATTAATTAGGCGAATTGGGCCCGCATAGGCTTTTAGAAAGTTTCGAGATCCTTAAATTTTAAGCGAGAATTTACTGTTATGATCTTATTAAAAAAGTTTGCGCCATCGTGTTAATTAGATTGTTCGGTAGACTTTTGGGGCCAGGGTCTCGTAAATTTAATGAGGATATTGTCGCGACCCCAAATTATTACGCCATAAATCACCACCACCAATTACCACAATGGGGCTGCAACGGCCGGAAGTCTCGTCATTATCACCAAACGAAGACATTTAAACCTCTTAGGGTGTCGTCGGATGCCCATGCGTCTAGTGAGGCTAAATTAGCCGGATCGTTAATTTTTTTCAATCTTGTCATCGATGATTGGCCGCATAGAGCTATCGGTCGCTTACCTTTGAGCAGCAAGGCGCAAATCAATAGCGACAGGAGGAGCCGCATCTTGTGCCAACAAATTCTGGTTTTCCTTCCTTTAATTGGTGTTGAGTTTCCGATCCTGCTGATGGAGTCAATTAGGGGACATCACTTTCGCACTGACACTCGCACGTTCTTAATTTGCTCGATCAGGCCAAACACCTACAACAAGTTAAAAGAAAATATTGGATGTGTTAGACGTGGTTTTACACAGCTGGCAAACATTGCACTAAATTAATTAAGCTGATCTAGGGGTTCTCGAATGCCCGCTTTGCTGAACTTCTTCCTGACGTTTCGCAAGCACGAGTGGCTTGCATCTTCAGAAGTGGTTTGCTTGAACGCTTACACTGTTCTCATCAGAACCCGCGTTCAGTTCT